CAAACACAAATCCAAGCTGACCGGTGATTGTTGCGTTTTCAAATTTCTCCGGCGTAGTGTGGACGGGGCGGCCTAAGATGAGGTATGCCAGCTACGTTCTCAGTTCAAAGTCGGCTCGCGTACTATTAATTAATTATTATCCTGATAAACCACCTCGCGTGAACTGATAACCTTAAAACAGTGATTAAATATTCATGTACTCGTGTCCGATTTGCAGGCCATCCTGAAATTAAAATTATTCGCCCCAGTGTAAGACTGAGTCCTTTAACCGTTAAAAACTATCAAGTTTCCGTGTTCCGTTTATGACACAGATTTATCCATCTCGACCAGAATGCGTGTTCAAAGAGCCTACTATTAATAACCTGAGGCCTCGTCCTATTTTGTCAGTCATCCGATTTTTTTTTTTTTTTTTNTCATCCGATTTTTGTTTTGTTTTGTTTTGTTTTGTTTTTTTTCATCCAATTATTTCCAAAATTGGACAACATGTACCGCGTTGTTCAAAAGTAGCCGGCTGTAATCTACTTTATGATGTCAGGCCGGTACTCTGCTCGGTTATTCTTGCAATTCTTTAGAGAAGATTGCAAATCAGTCAACTACTCAAGTAGATAAAGCTGCCAACTTGAAAACTGTGACAACCGGCTGCTCTGTGATGCTTACAGGCACACCTTCAATTTTCTTCTCCCCCCAATCAGTATCCTTTGTTTTCGCTCCACCCGTCTTTTCATTCTTGAAAAAAGAAAAAAAGAAAAATAAATAATATAATGTTACTAATGTAATGTAAAAGGGCGGATAGGGAGAGGAAGTTGTTTTCTGGTGTCCGCCTGCTTCGCGCTTTACGCTTTACGTCTGGTCGTGCGAAAATTGGGGCGAGAGCAAAAATTCGACGGAGAGGGTGCTGGTAGGGCAAGCAAGTGATTGCGGAATACTGTTCATTCATGCGTAGCAAATGCTACGAAGGAGCTACCAAGGAGATCCGACATGTTTGTGCGATCAATGTTTGGGAGTCTAGGGCCATTCTTTCCAAAAAATCGACCATAAATGGTGATGGTCAGTAGCCTGCAACGTTTTTCTCCGAGGTAAGAAGTGTTTGAAGTCCTTAAAGTATTTATACTTGTTTAACTCAGCTCGTATTTATACGCACGCTTGTAAATAACACACGCAGCAAATTGCATTCCAGAATCTTGACAAAGTTAGATGTCGAGGCTGTTATTTGAAGGCCAGAGAGATTACGAGCAACATCAAACAAACCTTATTATAGTAAGTTAAGCTCGTGTAGCTGAGATCCGCTCGCTTCAGATGAATTTTGTTATTTTCCCTGTGCAGTCAAGATCCCCCCTAGGTGCTGGGTATTTACGTAAGCTTAACTTACTCAAGTGTTAGGACTTACTTGTATTGTGTGTTGTTTACTTTAAAAACACATGAAATTAAAACTTAAAAACTTACGTAGGGTTCATCCACACTGAGAACAAAACTTTTGTCTAAGTTTAACAAACAAACCTGTCAACACATAACTTGCAGATGGTTTGTCTAGCAAGGACAAAATAATTTGTCTGG